CCGCCATCAGCACAGCTCCATGTGTCTTGTCTACAGGAATGTCTCGCAGGGAGTGAGTGTATCTGGCTTCCAGTGAGCTATTTATCTCCTTCGCACCTCCAAATGAGGTCATCATTTGAGACCTGATTGACAGGCTAGACTCCAGTTAATCCTTCTACCAGAACAGAGGGATATTGCTTGTGTTAAAATCAGGAAAAGTGGGTGTCAAGATTTTTCAGCTGAACATATATTCTTGGAACCTAGACCATATGAAAAACAGAAGGTGGTGTCAGGATTTGGACGTAGGTTCATTAGTGATCTGCGATGTGTAGACAACACTCCCTTGCTTATTTAAAGTGAAGAAGATGGGAAGCATTTATTGATCTAGATCAAAGGCTACAATCTTCAATATTGGTTTATCCCCCAACGTAAAAAGTAAATCCTCACAACTGGACCAATAAGTAACATCATGATTAGCAGAACACACTGACGTGGCCAAGGGCTCTGTTTTCAAACGGTAGACAAACAGAAGATCTGTAAGGTGAATGATACGGAGATCCGCCGTCTTTGGGATAATCAAGTATTGGCGATCCAAAGGGCAGCGTTTGTCCCAGGACCCATTCAGAAGGCAGGATGGGTTGGGAAAATAGGAGGACTTGGGGGAACAGGAAACACGGAGGGGAAGTGGGGTAAGTGACCTTGCATGTGGGGGTGCCCCAGGACCAGGAAAGCTGTAATTAATGAGACGAGTAAGCACTGGAGATGGGCTGCTTGAGACTTAGATCTGCAGTGAATGGCCTGCATCTCCCACTGCTTGTTCCTAACATGTGGTCACGTGTGTGTTTATTTTTCCGGCCAGGTTTAAGAGCAGGACTCGCTGCCTCCATTGCTGGGAGTTCTATTATCAACAAAATGTTACTAGCAAATATTGATCCTTTCGGCGCAACGCCATTCATTGACCCAGATCCAGATTTGCTGTAAGAAAATGCTTGTGCAAATACTTTCCTTTTCTCTTCTCTCTGTCTTGTATTAATTATAATGCTTTAAAATTGTATTCTAATAAATCTGTTTTCACCCAAGGATAATCAGAAAATCTCAAAAATTAGTGATGATGAGAGTTGTCCCATTTGAAATTCAGTTATTTCCACTACTGTCCCCCAGCCACAGTATTTCCCAGTTGCCCCCACTATTCTTCCTGGTAGAAACCCCATGTGGCCAGCTATTCAGTACCCCTGAATATTTCACTTAGAGGTCCTTGCATATCCACATTAGTATTAGTCTCGTCACCACCGTTCTTCTCCGACCCTCAGCATCGACTCATCACTCCACATGCGGCTTCTGTTGTTACTTACCTGCCCACATTGTTCCCTCCTTCCTCAGAACAGAAAGAAAAGCCGTGGCTCTTCCACATAGGCTTCCTTTTTTCATTTTGCATCTGTGCTCCCTTGTTTCTTTAATGACATTCCTCAAGGCAAATTTATGCCAGGCATGATGGGCTGGGTCTAGGAGAGTTTGCGCAGGCGATACTTGTCCATCATTAAGAGTGGACGTGAAGGAGATTTTCCAGTGAGGAGCGTGGGTCCTCACTGCAGGGCCCTGCCACAGTCACCGTACTTTGTCTCAGTAGGAAGGGGCCAGCGCAGGAGAGAGAAGCACTAAAGTTGCTTTGCAGCTAGTAGAGCAGCCAACTGGCTCTGTGTCCGTTGTTGCCCACCATCGGCCCTTGTCCCATCAGAACCCAGGGTTACACATGCATGGGTTGTGCACGCAGATGCGGATGGGAAGCAATTCCTGCTAAGCCTAGCTCTCATAAGAAATGAAAATTGACTTGAGCAGTGTTTAGGATTCTTTCATATGCTAATTATAATTGTTATATACTATATATAATGTGTGATACATCTGAATAAATGTCTATTATATATCATAAAACATTTTAATAAAAACAATAATATATACTATAATAATAGCATACGAAATCATAGAATTATGACTAATCATAACTGAACCTAAAACTGATCAACTTTAAAAGATTTCACCTTGTCATCCTAGAGATGGGTATACAGAAAAATGTGTGATGAATAATTACTTTGGAATTGGATTGGATGCAAAGATTTCCTTAGAATTTAATAATAAACGAGAAGAGCACCCTGAAAAATGCAGGTAATTTTAATCTTTAGCAACAATCTGATTAAGTGAAACCAACTTACTTTAATTTCATGTTTTATTTCTTTTGCTTGTTCTGCCCTTAAAAAAGTAAAGAAACAGTATTTACTGAAACGGTGTGCCAATATTGGTTTTTCAGAAGCCGGACTAAAAACTTCATGTGGTACGGCGTCCTCGGAACCAGGGAGTTGCTGCAGAGATCCTACAAGAACCTAGAACAAAGGGTTCAACTTGAGGTACAGTCTTCAGTGGGGTGTCATTCCACTTGTGCAACGGACGTGGCCTAAATACCTTTCAATCGGCAGTTAAACCCACGAGGGGAAAACTAGAAGCGTGGTTAGCAAATCGCTGTGTTAGCTGTATTCGAAAGGAGAGGTAGTCACTGGTTATGTTACTGATGAAAATTAAAGGCTGCAGCCTTTGGTATGGATTACAACTCAATGTAGAGAAAACGAAATACTCATAATTAGACCAGTAGACAATAAATATCATGATAAACACAGAAAAGATTGAAGTTATCAAGGATTTCATTTTTGCTTGGACCTACAATTAGTGCTCATGGAAGCGGCAGTTAAGAAACCAAATGGCAGTTACGTTGGACAAATCTGCTGCACGAGACCGCTTCAGAGTCTTGCAGAGCAGAGCTCTCTCTTTGAGAACCAAGGTGAGCCTGACCCAATTCATGGTTTTCCCTTGCACCGCATATGCCAATGGAAGCTAGGCAGCGACTAAAGAAGATGCCAGAAGAACTGATGCCTTCGAATTAGGATATTGGCCAAGAATATTGAGTGTACCGCAGACTGCCCGAAGAGTAAACAAGCCTGTCTTGCAAGAAGTGCAGCCAGAAAGGCCCTTGGACGTGAGGATGGCAAGGCATTGGGCATGCTTGCAGAAGAGACCAGTTCCTGGAGGAGAAGAACGTGCTTGGTCAAGTCCAAGGTCAGACAGAAAGAAGAGCCTCAGGAAGACGGTTCCATACAGTGTCTTCTACAGGGGGTTCAACGGTGGTGAGGATGGACTAGGCAGTATTTTTTTAAAATCATTTTATTGGGGGCTCTTACAGATCTTCTCACAAGCCATCCATCCATCCACTTTGTGAGGCACATTTGCAGATATGTTGCCGTCATGACTTGGCAGTATTGCATTCTGTTGAACATGGGGGCACTGTGAGTTGCAGCCAACTGCATGGCACCCAACAACAGCAAAAGCACAATTTTATCATTTTTTTAATTACATATTTTTTACAAAACTGTCTTCTTTTAATGGCAGTCTTCTCAATAGCTAAGTTTATTTGGGAATAGAATCAAACAGTCAGCATTAATTTGAGAACATTAGTTTAAGAGATAAGGAAAAATTTTGCAATTTTTCTTTTAGTCAGTAAGAATTTATTAGCCAGAGGATGTATACTGGTACAGATAGGAACTGGAAACACAGCAATCCTGGACAGATGATCCCTTCAGGACAAGTGGTGAGAGTGGCGATACTGGGAGGGTGGAGGGAGGGT